GCGTGGCTCCCGGAGAGACGAGCCGGGCCACGGAGAGCGAGGCAACCCCCTCGGAGATGAAACAGAAAGGTGCTCGGGAGCTTGGAAACCTTCTGCGCCCCTTCACGGGTCCCAGGATGCTGCTGGCTCCAGTGGGGCCAGGGATGCTCCAAGAGTCCCTAAAATGCATGGGGTTTTTTTCCCCTGCAGCAAACGGGGTGTCCCTGTGCCACACTGGGGAAACTGAGGCAGCAGAGCCCAGGGTGACACGGAGCGTGGCCGGGCTGGGACCCGTACCCCACTCGCTCACCCGCCCTCTGCGGTCAGTAAGGACATGCTCGGTTACAGAAAAGGCGCTTCTTGCAAAGGTTTATTCCGAAAGGATTCTCACTCCCTCGTCTCCCTTCCTGTTCCAGGCACTTACAGCTTCCTTCCCAGGGCGGTTTTTCCTTTTTTCCATGACAGAGGAATGTACTTTTGATAAAGGACAGCCGCGGCACGGGATGGCAGCACGCGAGGACCAGCTCTGCTCCACCGGCATCCCTCCTCCCAGCAGCTCCTTCCCAAAAAATCTCACCCCTTCCCTCCTGCTCCGTCCCTCCCCGAAGGCTCCACACTTTGGAACCAAAGCAGGAACGCACAGCAGCAGCTCCCGAAGCGGGAGGCTTCAAACTAACTAAATAAATAGAGAAATAAATGAATACATTGAGAAGAACCACAGAGCAGCTTTTCCCTTTGGAGGATTCCCAAGTCCCTTAGGACTGGGGGTCCCAGTGCCAGGGAGGTCGTGCTCGCAAAGTTTCCACGGCAGATGCGTAACTCGCCCTTCAACAACTCCAAATGTTTCTAAAGGAATGTGCAAACCCAAGGAAAAAGAGGGCTGAGAGCCACAGCAAAAATCCTGACCCTCTACCAACCATCTCCTGCCCCAGTTCCCAAGGATGTTGACATGGACAAAAGAAGCCACAACCTGGTAAAACAGTTCTGTTTGTTCAGTTAGGTGGTTTTTTTAAATAAAATAAAACGGTTAAATCCCCCTTTTCAGCTCAAATTCCTGCAGAGCTCACCCAGATCCCGTGACCGCAGAGGCACTGGCACCAGGAGGACTCGGCTGAGCAACTTCCCATTGCCCTCTGCTATTTCCTCTTGGAGGAAACCTTGGATTTTACTTCTTTTTCTGGGATGTATGAGTGACACTGTGACCCTGGAGGAAACCCCGCAGGGACGTGCATGGCCAGGCAGCTGGGAGCCAAGGCTCTGCCCAGCACCTTCCTCCAGCAAAGGGGTGCTTTGCAGGTGCCCATCACCTCAAGACCCCGCAGAAAAAGGGGGGGGACACCACATGGACACCTCGCACCTCTCCTCCCGCGTTCCTCTTGCCTGCCTCGTCCTGTTGCAAGGACCGGTCCTCGTTATTTGGCACTGGGTATTAATTAATCGGGGCCCTGCCTGGGGCAGGGGGGTTCTGCTGGGAGAGATGTGCTTGGCCCCCCTCCACCCTGGGCAGCCCCCAGGGACATCATCTCCCCGTGCCTCTGACATCCAGCACAGCATCGTTGGCCACGTCGGGCGAACCGCGCTCGACACGCTCTCTTGGAGGAGATTTTGGGACCTGAGCCGGCTCCAAAGACGGCTGACCAGGACATAACAGTCGAAGCCCTCGTTAGGGAGAAGATGAGCTCTGCCATGGTGAGCTGAGCTCTCTTAGAGTGAAGAATCTTCAGCTGTATACAGTAGATTTTCTTTAATGGACACATTACTTTAAACTAAGCCTTCGCCATCTGTTCCAGTCCCTAATTATCAATACAAAAACAAACGTCTACTCACAATTACACTCATAACGAGTAAAGATGCCAGCAATTAGAATGCACCAGCATCCTCGCCGCCGAGCAGCGCATCCATCTGTGATGACACTCGCGCAATCCAGGCAGGGAGGACTCGCTGCCGTCCCCGGCTCCCCGCACCCTCCCGGGCAAACGGTGGCGGGCCCCGCGGCCGGGGGCGGAAAAAGCCACATCTCAGAGGAGCAAAGGGTGGGCTGGCATCATTCAAGCAGCAGGAGGGAAAACGAGTTATTTGGGGCGAGAGTAGCCAAGCGCGCAGGATCCACCGCGGGAGCCGTCGTTTCACACCAGCTGATGCCGTCTCGCCAACTCCCCGTTCCCGATAGGATTCAAGTCTCTTCCAGGAAAACTCTTCTGAAGGACCCTGAAACGAAGCTGAGCTCACTTCCCAAAATCCCCACCTGGAAACCATATTTCAGACCTCCCCAGCGTGGAGGGCTCCTGCCAAGTCCCACCATGAGAAGGTGCAACTTCTCCCCGGCAAGGAGTGGGGTCTGGCTGCGGGCAGAGAGAGATGGAGGCAAGGAGGCCAACCCAACTCGATCGCCCTTCAACGTTGTCCATCTGGAAAGAAAGAGATGTAACGACAAATTTTCTGCTCAGGGAGAACATGAAGAAACTTCTACGAGCGCTGCACTCCTCAATAGACGCCTCGGGGACATGGTCCCTCTCTCAAAGCAGGAAGCAGCAGCTCTCACTCCGGCAAGAAGATAATGGCAGGAACCAGCCTAAGGCACTCAAAAGCAAATGCTTGGGCATATGCAAAGAGACTCGGGCATGGCTAAGATGACCGGGAGGAAAAAAGATAGAAATTAAGCAAAATAAGGAGAGAGGAGGCTTGATAACAACAGATGGGCAGAGGGAGATTTGGAAAGGATGCCAGCTGCTGGAAATAAGCCCCCCGAGATGTGTGGGGAGCAGAGAGGTGCGTGTCGATCCCTGAACCTTCGGAGGGAGAGGGGAGACAGGAGGGCAGCTGTCGACTGAGGGGCAGGGTGCGCAGGGCTGGGATCCAGAGGATGCTCCATGGGTGGGATCTTCAGAAACTCATCCTGATGTGCCCTCCCAGAGCACAACGCCAGCCTGAGCAAGTGCCGATGGGGTCAGCGCACGGTCCAACCCCAGGGCACGTCCCACAGTGTGACTTTCTGAAGGGGGAATGAAAGCACAGCTTTTTTTCCATAAGCAAAGCACCATATTTTCCCCTCTATTTCATGCTCGTGAACGCCGAGCTTGCTTTCTACCCCCTCCTTCTCTCCCAAGAGCTTCAGCAAAATCAGCCCAAGGCAAACGCGCAGCTTGGGAAGCTTCTGTCCAAGTTTGGTGACATTACCCGAGAAAGGGAACAATAGAGAACCAGAGCCAAGATGCTTTATTACCAAAGACTAACGCTAAATAGCATTAACCGCTGTGATGCTGCAAGCTCTGCCTTCCTGCAGTTCTCCTGACTTCCATCCAAGCCCAGGTTGCATCACAGCTTTCATCACCGCTACCTATATCCTCGTGGTTTGCATCACGCCTCCCGACGTCAATGGAAAAGAAAATCCCACAGGTGCCAGTGGAACAATCCGAATTTAATTCTCACTGTTCCCCATAGACCAAGAGGTTCAAGCACACGTCAGGAGGTTGGCTGAATAATTCCAGGTTGCTCTCCATGACCATGCTCCTGACCACAACACCCCACGCACACGATCCAGCTTCGCCCATGCAAGGTTCCGATACATCCTGAACTTCGGACTAAGCCGGGAAAAAGCAGGAACACAAGATCCGTGCGGCTCTGTTGCAGGGACCAAGGCAATGACCTGTTGGATGCACATCCCACCCAAAAAGTCTCTTCTGCAGGAGGACTATCCATCTCGTGCCGTGAAGGAGCTGGTGCCCTGACGTCTCCCAGATGGTTTAATTATGGCGCTGGAGAGGCAGGTAGGGGAAGAGCAGGATCACCCTCTCCCCTTTGACAAGTGCCGCTGCTCTTAACAGTCTCCCCGAGAGCACCGGCTTCCGAAAGAGCCGCTCACGGAATCTATACACTTTCAATCAAAAATATTACAGCAACAACTAATTACGTCCCATCATTCCCAGGGCTCTCTGCCCTTAATGGTGCATTTTGCTGCTACGGAATGATGGTGAAACTGCTCTGGAAGTGCATAACGAGCTCTCCCCATCAATCTCCCGCGGGTTTGTTATGAAGGATTAGCCACCGAACAACAAACCCAGTTGAGAAGGGAGAGGATGAGCTAAACAACAACAAAACAAGCTGACACCAAACGTTTTCCACCTGTATTTTCAAGGAAACTTGTTGATGCTTTGGGGTCTGGATGAACCTCCGAGGGCGGAGGAGCGGCCGTGCCTGCTCTGCGAAGACATCCCAGCCGTGCCACCACCACCCATGGCCACCAGCCAGCCTGCGATCATCCACCGTAGCC